TGTGCAACCCCCCCCCCCTCCCCCGGGAGGAGGAAAGGGGAGCCCGAGACCCCCTGCCGGCTACCCGAGCCTGGCAGTTAGGCTGGATATCACAACACGCGAAAAGAACTGCCGACCGGAAGGAGGAAGGGATGTCGTAGAGCCTCCGGGTCTCGCCCAAAAAATGGCATTTCATTACATTCAATGCTGGTTTTCTGGGGGGGGGGGAGAGCTCTTTCGGCTCCCCGGAGCTAACTACCCAAATACAAGGACAAAAGAGGGACAAACCCGGGAGGCGAAAACCACGCATCCGAAAGCAAGATAATTGGCAACACCAAACGACCCCGCGGATGACCCGGAAGACCCGAACCCTGGAACAGGGACGAAGGGGATCCCCCAGGACACTTGAAGTGCGCCCAGGGCCGCAGATGACGCGACACGCAGGCAATGGCTGAGAGCCACAACCGGACATAAGATGATGCATCCCCGGCCAAACCAACCAAGCATCAACAACCCCAGGGACTCCTCCGGACAACAGCCGGCCCGACCTCGCCAGAAAAGAAGTGACGGCTGCAAACGAACAAACCGGACACCAGAACCCAAAGGAGTTTTCATTTTCAAATTACGACTTTTTATACTTAAAATAAGGCAATTACTGAAAACGGCGATGGGTCATATTTTGCCCAAACCCCCCTGCAGTTTTCAAAATATCTGAAATGTCGGAAATTTAACTCCTGAGCGTGACTTTTGAGCCGAATTCTGACTTTCTGCACCTATTTTCATTTTCAAATTACGACCTTTTATACCGAAAATATACCAATTACTGAAAACAGCGATGGGTCATATTTTGCCCAAACCCCCCTGCAGTTTTCAAAATGTCTGAAATGTCGGAAATTTGACTCCTGAGCGTGATTTTTGAGCCGAATTCTGACTCTCTGCACCTATTTTCATTTTCAAATTACGACTTTTTATACAGAAAATATACCAATTACTGAAAACGGCGATGGGTCATATTTTGCCCAAACCCCCCTGCAGTTTTCAAAATATCTGAAATGTCGGAAATTTGACTGCTGAGCGTGATTTTTGAGCCGAATTCTGACTCTCTGCACCTACTTTCATTTTCAAATTACGACTTTTTATACCGAATATATACCAATTACTGAAAACAGCGATGGGTCATATTTTGCCCAAACCCCCCTGCAGTTTTCAAAATATCTGAAATGTCGGAAATTTGACTCCTGAGCGTGATTTTTGAGCCGAATTCTGACTCTCTGCACTTATTTTCATTTTCAAATTACGAAATTTTATACGGAAAATATGCCAATTACTGAAAACAGCGATGGGTCATATTTTGCCCAAACCCCACTGCAGTTTTCAAAGTGTCTGAAATGTCGGAAATTTAACTCCTGAGCGTGATTTTTGAAACGAAATCTGACTCTTTGCACCTATTTTCATTTTCAAATTACGACCTTTTATACGGAAAATATGCCAATTACTGAAAAAAGCGATGGGTCACATTTTGCCCAAACCCCCCTGCAGTTTTCAAAATGTCTGAAATATCGGAAATTTAACTCCTAAACGTGATTTTTTAAACAAATTCTGACTCTCTGCACCTATTTTCATTTTCAAATTACGAACTTTTATACGGAAAATAAGGCAATTACTGAAAACGGCGATAGGTCATATTTTGCCCAAACCCCTTGCAGTTTTCAAAATGTCTGAAATGTCGGAAATTTAACTCCTGAGCGTGATTTTTTAAACAAATTCTGACTCTCTGCACCTATTTTCATTTTCAAATTACGACCTTTTATACGGAAAATATGCCAATTACTGAAAACGGCGATGGGTCATATTTTGCCCAAACCCCCCCTGCAGTTTTCAAAATATCTGAAATGCCGGATATTTGACTCCTGAGCGTGATGTTTGAGCCGAATTCTGACTTTCTGCACCTATTTTCATTTTCAAATTACGACCTTTTATACCGAAAATATGCCAATTACTGAAAACGGCGATGGGTCATATTTTGCCCAAAACCCCCTGCAGTTTTCAAAATATCTGAAATGTCGGAAATTTGACTCGTGGGCGTGATTTTTGAGCCGAATTCTGACTCTCTGCACCTATTTTCATTTTCAAATTACGAACTTTTATACGGAAAATATGCCAATTACTGAAAACAGCGATGGGTCATATTTTGCCCAAACCCCCCTGCAGTTTTCAATATGTCTGAAATGTCGGAAATTTGACTCCTGAGCGTGATTTTTGAGCCGAATTCTGACTCTCTGCACCTATTTTCCTTTTCAAATTACGACCTTTTATACGGAAAATAGGCCAATTGCTGAAAACGGCGATGGCTCATATTTTGCCCAAACCCCCCTGCAGTTTTCAAAATGTCTGAAATGTCGGAAATTTGACTCCTGAGCGTGATTTTTTAAACGAATTCTGACTCTTTGTACCTATTTTCATTTTCAAAATATTACCTTGTATACGGAAAATATGCCAATTACTGAAAACGGTGATGGGTCATATTTTGCCCAAACCCCCCTGCAGTTTTCAAAATATCTGAAATGTCGGAAATTTGACTCCTGAGCGTGATTTTTGAGCCGAATTCTGACTCTCTGCACCTATTTTCATTTTCTAATTACGACTTTTTATACAGAAAATATACCAATTACTGAAAACGGCGATGGGTTATATTTTGCCCAAACCCCCCTGCAGTTTTCAAAATATCTGAAATGTCGGATATTTGACTCCTGAGCGTGATTTTTGAGCCGAATTCTGACTCTGCACCTATTTTCATTTTCAAATTACGACTTTTTATACGGAAAATAGGCCAATTACTGAGAACGGCGATGGGTCATATTTTGCCCAAAACCCCATGCAGTTTTTAAAATATCGGAAATATCCCAAATCTGACTTCTGAGCAATATTTTGGAGCCAAATTCTGGCTTACTGCACATATTTGGAGTTTGAAATTATGACTTTTTGTACCGAAAATATGCCAATTAGTGAAAACGGAGATGGGTCTCATTTTGCCCAAACCCCCCTGCAGTTTTCAAAATATCGGAAATATCTCCAATCTGACTCATGAGCGTTATTCTTGAGCCGAATTCTGGCTGATTTCACATATTAGGAATTTGAAAATACGACTTTTTGTACCGAAAATGTGCGAATTACTGAAAACGGCGATGGGTCACCGTTTTCATCACCCTTACACAGACGGTAGTACTGAGCTTCTCAATTCTTTTACATATGGTTGAACGCGTCAGCACCTCATGTACTCTACCTCCCTTCTATCCCAGTGAGGATAGTGTGCGTTAGGATAGTATCCCAGACCTCGGTACAAGCCTAACGTGGTTTACCAGCCCATCCTCCTAAGGGTGACCAATGCCAAGAAAACGGTCAAGTTATAGTGACCTCTTCTAACCTACCAGAGGACCCAAAACAGAAAATGGGACAGAACGTCACTTTTGCCAGCCGCTTCCATGTTCTAGTACAACAATTTTTGGCCCTTATGTAACGCAAACGAACGAAAAGCGACGATCTTTGTAGGAGTACAGGTTGTATAAACACACACACACTGCCTGTCCCGCGACACAATGAATTAATAATTATTATTATAAACCCTCGGAACCGCCTACCCGCCGAAAGTATAAATGCCAAATATCTGCTGAACTTCAAACTCTCCCTGGAAAAAATTATCAGGACAAACTGAGGACCTTTGACAAGTCGCCGGCTTCCTGTCCTCGTCGAAGCCCCTTGAGTGTTAGTGGCCCTCAGGTAAAAAATTCAGGTATCTTGTCCAGTATACTGAGTAGTGGTAATAGCATCTAGAGCATTCTAGATGGTTAGCTCAGGCAGAAGTAACACCTCTGATCTGCCTTGTCTAGCCGCACTTTACATCTCGCTTTGAATTGTGTATTATGATTCCTTGGTCCTTTTCCTTTGTTAATTTTGTAGCTGTGATGTGGATTGTTACGCTCCACATGCAAGGTCTTGCAATTTGTCGATATTAAAAAGTATTTGCCCGTCTTCTGCACCTAGAAATAATATAGCTGAATTATTTTAATCTATGCCCGAAACGTTTTTCGTAATAATGTGGCTTTAATATACATATTTTGTAACAACTAATTGTTACAACTTCTCTGTATCGTGGTTAATTAGTTGTTACATAATTATATCTTTTGTATATTTCTTAAACTTTAATTATTATTATGACTGTATTATGCAACATTTTTATTTACTGCGCGCTTGGCAAAAGCCTCAACTTTATTTTGTTGTTGAAGCCTATTATATGATTGTTTGGGGGGGGGGGATCCACAACAATTTAACTCTGGCCTCCTTTATTAAGTATATTCATATACACCTATCTGGCTCCAGAGACAAGCATACGATAGTTTGAGTGTAAACATTTATAAGTGGTGAGAGATGGTAGCAGCGTCGCCAAGGTCATCAGCTTGTTGCTGGTACTCTGTGTTAAGGTGACATCTGCCAACTCTCACTTGAGTTTCAAATTCACCTTAATTATGGTCAATATGTGCAGTAACTATTATGTGACCTTAGAAGGGAATGTAACCTGGTGCCATTAACGTTAATATGTAAGTATATATATATATATATATATATATATATATATATATATATATATATATATATATATATATATATATATATATATATATATATATATATATATATATATAGAGAGAGAGATGGCCATGTATAGCCTCTTTATTACAATATACAATATGCAGTATAATTGCTCTTCGGTTGAAAAATAATTCAAGTAGTGGCTAACAGAGATTATGGCTTAAAGATACATTAGATCCATAGAGTATGGTTTAAAGATACATTAGATCTAGAGATTATTACATTGAAACTGCAGTATTTGAAATAGTGTTTAGATATGGCATTTGTGCACAGTGGTAACAGAGGATATGATTGAGGTTCTTATGCCGTGGGTTCAGAAGACCAATATTACACTGCTCACATGTATTGTGTACTTTAGCCTCTCCACAGCCACCTTGTGCCAGGGATCACCAGGCTGCGTTACCAGTCTTCTGCATCGCCTTGAGAGTGCTGTTAGTTCTTCAATGATACAGAGGAGAAATCACTCGTTAGAATTAACCATAACACTAACAAGAAACCATTCCAGCATTTGTGTTGCTCTTGGCAACATATCATTCAAGGTATTTTAAGTTGATGAGTGAATGTGTAGTCTTTCCGTAGTATAGTTGGCTTCGTTCTCGACTCAGAATCGGGGTCCCGGGTTCGATTACCAGGTGGGACAGAAATAGGTGGACATGTTTCCTTTCGCCTATAACCTCTGTTCACCTAGCAGTAATTAAATAGGTACCCTGGAGTTAGGCAACTGGTGATTGATATTGTCTACCAATTAAGAAGTGTTACTTGTTGTCTTGGGAAAGCGCCAAGCCATTACGACTATATAGCACTTGGAAGGGGTCAGGATAAGGATTTGGGAAGGGGGGGGGGGAAGGAATGGTGCCCAATTAAAATATATTATGATACCTGCAACATTATATAGTATAACTGACTGGTAACTGCTCAATATGTGAAGGTGTATTGATGTAATAATATGCATTACATTTTGTAACTAGCTCATCACGATTGTAACTTGCTTAGCTAAATGAATTTTGGGATTCAGTCCCTGAATTTATTATATATACGTCTGTAACCCATTTCCACTACTGCCCACAGGATGGGTATGGGGTGCATAATAAATGAACTTAACTAAAAACACTGTTGCAGGAGTAGAAGACAAGCTCTGGCGGCAGCAGCAGGCGATGGTGGTGCGGGTGGTAGTGGTGGGCGGCGGGGTGAGTGGTGTGGGCAGTGCTCTAGCCCTCCTCCAGCGTCTCCCTCAGTGTAGCCTCACCATTATAGCTGAACACTTCACACCCACCACCACAGGTCAGCTGGTGGGGGGGGGGCGTGTTTTTAGCGGTCAAAGGGCAACAGGTCAAGGTCGGAGATCAAATACTTGGATTAAATATGAAGCCCGGGGTTAATTATGAAATCAAATTTTGCTCTTTTCCGCTAAATCTGAAGTAAACACTCGACTCCCAATCAATGTTTCAGTTTGAGGGAAAGTTAGAAGACAACTCTAGTTAGGATTACACCAAGACGCAGTTGGTGCTTGCCCATCAGTACTTATACTTACTATAAATTTATCAGTTTTTTGGAGCCCCGATTCCTAGCCATTTATAGTTTTTTCTTTTTATCTAATGTTCGCGCACTGTTATTTACTCTTAAGGCTATGATAGGAGAAGTCTTCCACTGCTTATTATTGAGCATTTCACGTGTTGGCCAACCTAGCAGTATATAATTATTTCTTTGGGTTAATCTCACTCGTATACATTTCCAACTTTCATCCATGTCTTTTTATCCTAATTTGTCTCATAAAAAGAAAGTTTGCCCTTTTCCACCTTGTCTACGTTCAGTCGTGAATGATCTTGAAGTAAGTAATATTGAGGTCAACTCTGTTAATCTTATATCAACTGGTGGTAAAATAGGACCCTATTAACGTAAAATGTTCATAATCTACAGCATCATTTTAATTCTAGCAGATTGAGTGTAGTACGTTTGCTGACACTGTTTTGTGTCTGATTGCCAAAGTTGACACCGTGCTTATTATGTCATGGTCAAAGTTGATGGCCAAAACCAAGCTTAGTGTCAGCCAGACAAATACATCAGCTTGATGTTAACCTGTATGCATTTGAGGTCAATTTGATATTGTGACCAACAGGTGACGGAGCAGCAGGACACTGGGAGCCTTATATGAGTCCTGGAACTTCAGAGGAAAAGATCATGTGAGCCAAAAACTATCTTCTCTTTATATTGCTGTGCGACCGCACGGATTAAGTTCCAGCTCCTGGACCCATATACATTACCTTCAATCACCTGACATAAATAAGCTTTATTATATAAACTTGTAAAATTATGAATAGACTCACCATCTACGACTTTCTCTTAGATTCTACTTCCTCACTGCAAGCTATTCCTGCATTACTCTGACCCTCTTGGGCGCTCGACATTCATGGATTCTGGTTCTGGTCTTTCCCGTTTCAAAGAGTGTCTTTGTCTACTCTTGTTTGTTCCAAGGAGTATTTGTATGTCGTGATTACATATCCTCTTGTTCCGTCCTTTTCTAGTATGGTGAAATCCTGCTTATAGCCTCTTCTCGTAATTCTTGCCCACAAGCTTCAATGCCAGCCTGTTGATAACTCTGCACTTTTTTGTTTCTTTATGTGTTTGGTTAGGATTAGAACTTCAAGTTGGATCTTCGTACTCAAAGATTGGCTTTAGATACATGTTGCATATGATCCTGAATGACTCCTTATACATGCAGGTGCCACTGATAATATAGAGTTTAGGGGGGCTTGTGGAGATGAGTTCTGTATGATATCTTCTTTCTAAGTCCTTTCCTTTACAAGTCTTGTGAAGTTGTTCCTCTCCAAAGTCTTACATTTCCTCCGGCCTCCTTCCTTTCGAATCAGTCTTCATTATTGTTTTTTCTTGATAGGGGTTGAACTTCAGGAGATACTTAATGGAGCTCGTGTAAATATTCCTGCAGTTTTTTTTCCAGGAATAAAATGTATACTAATACACAGGTTTGGGCAACCCCACTTCTTCGAGGTGCAGATTTTATTCTCACCCGGACTTGCATCTCAATTTTTGTTTATCAATCTATTCGCCCTTCTCTTTTATGTATTTTTGTTGTTGCTGTATGTGTGTGTATATATATATCTAACTACTTTCCTAATGGCACTTACCTAATAGAGTTAACCGGGCCACATTTCAGCTCCTTAGCTTCTTCTTTCCTGTTGTCGGTCGAATGATGTAATGATAAACAACTCCCTTTTCGATTTTTGCTATACTGTATTTGATTAATGAGCTGTGAATAGGTCTAGCTTCAGGATTCTTCTTCTAATTCATGCCAATATGTACTCCCTCCTGTCTGGTGAGGGAGATTCCTGGTGCGGCGTATAGCCAGTGGTCCCGGGAGACATGGGAGCTGTTCCGTGAGTGGTGGGAGAGTGGGAGGCAGATGGGCGTCTCCCTCGCTTATGGAGAAATCATCAGTCGCGACCACATGCAAGAGAATCCCTGGCGACATGTACCCCTTGCGTACCGAACCCTCACTGACGCTGAGTGCACTAAGTACGGTCCCCAGTACCGGTAAGTATTCTTATCTACAACTACACTAGCTGCCTTGCAAAGTTGCAAATCAAGAGAGGCCATTTGCCAACCGAAATGGTTTGAGAAACCAGTAAAACTATTTACGTGCAGCTAGTTTTGGCAACTGGCTTATGTGATGAGCATCCTCCATGATAATTCAACAGAGGAATGCATGCAGAGTTAGCTGCAAGTTAGCTCTTCAAGCACTTGAAAACCCAACATGCAAAATAGATACTAGGAATATTGTAACATCAATTATATTCATAATTAATGTATTGATCAAGTTTCAGAATTTCCTGTGACCATCTCACCTAAGTGTTGTCCAACCTGATTATACAGACGGCAGCTAAAATTGCTTGTAATAAACCTGAAATTTCAAGAAACTTAAGGCTGATAGAAGAGCGATCACTGACACTCAAAGGGCAGAAAGCACTAGTATAAAGAATTATGATAGTGAGAACTATATGTACGGATATAATACATCCACCAGACAGTGACATTGTAATTGCCAGAGTTAGGCTTGTGTGGGGTAATCCTAGCAGGCAGTATGTGCTTATTAATTAGTGAATATTTATTTTGTATTTTTTAGTTTACTTCAATATAAATTATGATTCTAAGTGGACTGTATTTTAAATTCAGCCTGCCTGTTTTTACCTGCATATAGTGGATGGTAAATGTGGACAACTTATCCCACAATTGATGGTGATATAATAAGCTATAGACATTTACCGTTTGCTACATATAAATTATACCACATATGGTGGTAATTAGACTACAGTATTTGTTAATACTACAATTTATTGGGTTAATATAAAGTAAATGGGTAGCCTTAGCTGTGATGGATGTTATGGCCTGTTTAGGCTGTTCCGTCATCTGTTAGGGTGTGGCACATGTGGTCCTGGGTGTACCTGGTAATGGCGTCTGTAAGGGCAGCTAGTGTATGCAAGAAGTCATTGTTTCTTGCAGGTTGTCAGCTCAACTAATATCTCCAGATCACGAGCTTACCTGCCGATGGAATGGGCTATAAAAATGGCTCCATTAACATATAAAGTACAAGTGTGACATATAACAAATGGGGAATTATATATAAGAGACTTAGCTTACCCTGTTTTGGGGGTTCTCGTTCATTATAACCGGACTACATGACATAAAATTATAAAGGCCCATATAAATTATGTTAAATTATATTTTATTTGTAGACTGGATACAATATTTCCCGAAGTTGATGAGATTGCTATGGCTGGATCACTATTGGGCGGTCTAATTTGAGACCTATGTAGTGCCGCGTTTGCTAACCTCAGGGAGTACCCTCTCGTGGCTGTTTTTTCCTGTTTGTAACTGTTTCACTCATAGATATTGGAATATATGCTCATTCTCTACCCAACGTTTTTTGGTGCAGGCTAGTACACTAGTAGACTTACATTTTCAGTTTCGTCATTCGAAAGATTGTATTGCAACTTCATACAGAAGTAGTCACATACATCTAGCAGTTCATCTTTCATCTTATCATCACTGCAGATCTGGCTACACCTTTGGCACTTTCTCAGCGGAGGTATCAAGGTTCCTGCCGGTACTGCTGGAGGAGGTAAAGGAGCTGGGAGGTCGCTTGGAGGTTCGTCGTCTGTCGTCTCTGACAGAGGCGGCACAGGAGGCAGACCTCGTCATCAACTGCAGCGGTCTTGGAGCCAGGGATCTCGTGCCTGACCCAGCTGTCTATCCCTGCAGAGGTCAAGTCATGAGGGTCAGTGTCCTATCTAACTGTGGTCAATATTATTGTTTCTTGGAGACGCTTTCCTATGTTCATTCGTCTTTAATACGCTTCTTTACAAATATCGTCTTAACCCAGAAATTGATGTTAATGCTGCTATATGTGTCGGAGATGCTATCATTCGAGGGACATCCTATAAAAGTGCAGCATACTTGAAGTCCCCCCATGTTTTTAATAATATATATCTTATCTAAAGAGATTATCTGAACTGATGTTGTTAGTAGGAAATCAAGGTTCCTTCTTTTTTTGTTATTACAGACAAAAGTACGTGTAAATTCTTGATAATTCCAACTGATTTTGAGTTATCGTAAATTAAACTACCTTTAACCAATTTAAAATACTATATATATATAAAGAATTTCTTCCAAAAAATATTAGTAATTGATTATTATATAGCACTAATTTAGCAAATGTATTAGAGTTAGGAAGTAATTATTAATGGTTGTTACCAATTTTCTCAGGACTATAAACAATCCTTGAGGGATAGATATATGCATAAATCATTTATATTTATTGACCTAAAATTATGTAAATATGCTCTTGTAACAATTCCAACTTTAGCATTATCAACCTATATAACTATATCATTAAATTGGTGCCATCTTTTGATTAGATGAACTTATAGCTAGTTTTGTATCTACACTTTGTAATATTTCATATAGAATAGGGTAGCACATTGCTGTGTATACCTAAGCTTGTTAATAAAAAAAATTATAATTACTTTTAATTTATGGTTTTCCATAATCGAAGAGAGGAAGGTTGTTGAGCTTGTAGAGATTCCTCTAAATTCCTCTACAATTCCTCTATAGAGATTCCAATTCCTCTGTAGAGATTCCTCTACAAGCTCAACCTTGTACTGTACCTGTACAGATTTAGAAAAAAAAGAGCCCAAATGTAAGAACAACTCTCCTTACATCCATAAAACCTGAGAATTTTGTAGTTCAGTTTTAGTTTTGCTTCTTGTACAAAATTAATTTTTGTACGGTTGGTTTTCAGGTTCGAGCACCGTGGGTGGGAAGGTTCCTGTGTGACGAGTCTGACGAGTCCTTTGCCTACATCCTTCCCAAGTGAGTCCCAATTATCTTCTCCACTCACAACATGTGTACTAACTAACTTATATCCTCCCCAAGCGAGTCCCACTTACCTCTCCCGAGGCCACGCGTCCTAGCCTATCTCACAACCTAGCAACGATACTGTTTAAAAAACTGAAATATTGATTTACATACAAATTTAAGTAATAATGATAATAATAATAATTATTATTGTAGTATTAGTAGTAGTAATATTGTAATAATAATGAAATATTATGATGTGACGAGTATTGAGACGGTAGTGGTAGGAGGAACCCACCAAGACGACGACTGGCGGCTGGAGGTGGACCCCGCAGACTCCAGAGTCATCTGGGATAACTGCACCACTCTCATGCCCTCACTCAAGGTTCTCTGCTGTTATTTGTTATGCTCTGAGTGTTCTCCCCACCGGCCGTTGGCTTACGTTACAGTGACAGGTAGAACAGAAGGATTACAGAGAGTGCTTAACTACATCCCAGAGGATGTTGTTTAACAATGTTTTTTACAGTTTACTGAATCTTTATTTATTTATTTATGTATTTATATATTAGAAGGTATATTGGGTTTATGAGAGTACACAGCATTGATGATTTTACATTCTTGCAAAGATAGATGCTCAATTATTCATCATAACCGATTGTTATAACCGATTTCACAGTCTCCGTGGTGTAGTGGTAAGACACTCGCCTAGCGTTCCGCGAGCGCTATGTCATGGGTTCGTATCCTGGCCGGGGAGGATTTACTGGGCGCAATTCCTTAACTGTAGCCTCTGTTTAACGCAACAGTAAAATGTGTACTAGGATGAAAAAACGATTCTTCGCGGCGGGGATCGTATTCCAGGGACCTGCCCGAAACGCTACGCGTACTAGTGGCTGTACGAGAATGTAACAACTCTTGTATATATCTCAAAAAAAAAAAAAAAAAAAAAAAATTGTTCGCACACAGGCGGCTAATTTACTGTGCACCCTATACTCATCCTATGAGCGGTAGTTTATTATGCACCCCATACTCATACCGTGAGCGATAGCACAAAAAATTACAAAAGGGTGAAATTTTTCTCAATCCGACTTCAACAACAATTTTGACATCATTACATCCAATGTGCACTCCAATTTACATTGTCATTTTCATAATTGTCAGCTACTAGCTGACAATTACAGTCAGCTAGTAACAGACTTCTTTCACTACATCTTGTATGTATTAACAATAGATTATTATATATATAGGAGGTATGAAACTTTGTTAATGATTAAATAGTTTTCAACATTGGTTTTCACAAGGAAACTCGTACATTGAACATACACATGTTATTCATTAACTAGAAGCGAAATATAGATATACTGCAAGCATTTCACATATTTTATCATTTGCAATAAAATGATTTGATATTTCATGCAGCATATGTGCAGTGTTATCTCTAAATGGCTAAATTGCTAGTATAAAGAATGCAATGCTCTAGTCATTCTAGTGTGTGTCTTGTCCACACTTCACTTCATCTAAAACTCAGTAGAAATGTCTGGCGATGCAGCCTAATCCCCGTGTACTCACCTATTTGTACTCACCTATTTGTGCTTGCGGGGGTTGAGCTTTGGCTCTTTGGTCCCGCCTCTCAACTGGAGTGTGGGTTGTGGTTGTCTTAGTGTTGTCACCTGCAGGCGGCGGAGGTGGTGCAGGAGTGGGTGGGACTGCGGCCTTGCAGGAAAGGTGGAGTTCGTCTAGAAGCTGACCAGATTAAAGTAGACTCACGAACTGTCCCGGTAAGTTTACAATTTGTGCCAAAACGCATGATAAAGTGTGTAGTTCTGTATCTATTTATAACATGCACACTCAAGCTGTGATGGAAAGATGGTGACAATAACCATGGGCGTGACTATATACTGCAGGTGGTGCACAACTACGGCCACGGGGGATGTGGGATCACAATGTTTTGGGGGTGTGCCAGTGAGGTCGCCCACATAGCCCGCGATCTCGTCCACAGGCACTACGGACTACCCTGCCGGCTCTAGCAGTCTATGAACTCCTAGCAAGCTAAATACTTCGCCAAGAAGCTGTTCAAACTTACCCACAGGTCACAAACTCTACGACTTATCCAGCGTGCTCGTAGCCTTTCTCCTGATTGATTTTACGGTGTTGCCGCCAGCGACAGCAAGCTTATTGTGCACCCCATTCTCATCCTGTGAGCGGTGGGGGAAAACAAATATCATAGAGGATATAATAATTGTCGTTTGAAGTGAATAGCTTATACTTACAATATTATAAGCACACGTTATATTTAATTATAATGGTAGCTAGTAGCATAACACTCCAACCTTTATATATAATTACTAATATATCGTTTTCTAAGGTAAGCAATGTTCCAATTGAGCATCTTGATGTCACTATACTTGTTTACATTACAGTAATTGCCCATTTCTCAGTAATTTTGAATTACTGGATTTCTTTTCATGATATCTTCCAGACAACGATACTATTCATTATGCCTTTGAATTGTGGTTTCATCCAAGTCAGGCAGCGCCAAGTCTTCCAGTATGAGGTTAATTTTTATGGATTACAAGCTTCAAACATCCAGTAACACGAATACAAATTTGAATTCGTATTCAAACATGAATACTTATTTAGTAAATCGATAAAACAATTCAACTAGTCTTTAATTTCCCACTGATTACTACAAATGTGCTTGCCTAGATGTGTTTGTGGGGCTCGAGCGCCAGCTCTTGGCCCCTTCCTCATAGACACATTGCAGATTGATATACATTTATGAAGCGACTTGCCTGCGTAACATTCAACTACTGCAACGAGAGTCATAAACGAGCACTTTACACCACAAGTAACTTATAGAGCATATTTAATTTAAAATGAAATAAATGTGAAAGATATGTATGCAATCAAAGCTCCCGAGTGCATGTTAAAATTGTAAGATATTAACCAGACCACTTCTTTAAAAGATCCAATGTAATGCAAGTAGGAGTCACAATGTAATACAAGCTCAACAAGTCACAATGTAGGACAGAAAACAAGATGTTCTTTCACCATACTGTTATCAACCTCCAGCCTCTCCAGCGCGGAACCTCAGAAGAACGTATAAATCCACGATGGACAACATTGATTATGAGTTACTTTAGTTCGTTTATTATGGGTACCCCACTTACCAAAGGGTTGAGGCCAACCCCTTTTTGTCATTAACATCAATGACATAGAGGAGATTATTACAAACCACATCATCAAATTTGCAGATGACACAAAGATATATGGTAAAGTGGGAAATAATAATGATATTGGAGCCCTACAGAGAGTTCTACGTGAACTCCACAAATGGTCAGAAGACTGGTAAATACTTTTTAATATCGACAAATGCAAGATCTTGCATGTTCAGGCATGATAGGGCGGATCTCTCACATTATGCCCCTCATTTGGTCCTGAGGCGGGACCAAAGAGCCAGTCAACCCCCGCAAGCACAATTAGGTAAGTACATTATGCATGTAGGACATAACAACCCACGCAAGTTTCCAAAATTATATCATTATATTACAGCAGATTGATGAAGAAAATGACCTTGGAGTCAAAATCCACCATTCATTAAAGTTGCACAACAGGTGGGAGCAGCAGTTAAAAAAGCTAACCAAACTCTTGGGATAATCAAGAGTACTTTTGACTATAAGGACTGAGAACAAGAAATGTTTTTTTCACTCTCAGGGTAATTAACCCATGGAACCGCCTACCTGCCGAAGCCGTAACTGCCAAAACTGTTTAATTTCAAAATGCCACTAGAAAATATTATCAAGGCAAATGGGGGGGGGGAGACCTTCGACAAGACGCCGGCTTCCTATCCTTTTCGAGGCCACTAGTGCCACTAGTGGCCTCTGTCATGGCCACTAGTGCCAGTGGCCTTCAGATAAATTCAGATAAAAACCCATGGACCTGCCAACCCGCCTGAGAGATGGATGCTAGATTCCAAACAAATCCTCAGGAATAAGTGAGGGAGGGGTGAGATATTTCACAAATTACCAGCTTCTTGTCCCCGTCGAGGCCACCAGAGATATGCTAGCCCTCAGGTAAGTTCCAGTAAAATCAGGTGAATATATTTTACACGATGCACTCTAGAATTTTTATATGATGCCTAATGTATGATGTGACGTCACACTAATCCGGCCCCAGACGGCGGCTGGCGAACACCTTCAGCGTCTGATAAAATGGAGTCGCTGGAAATAAGCTACAAAATCCCGTGAGTAATTATCTTACTACTCATTAAAACTTTGTAATCCAGCTGTGCGGATTTGTTGTGCAGCAGGAGAGGCGAGATAGCGCGTGCTGGAGGAGAAGTTGGAGCGTGTAAGAGTGGTAGGTGATGGACAAGCCAAGAGTTGCCCCAAACATGTTTGAGTAAACAGTTTGGGGAAGGTAAACAAAATTTGGTAGCTAACCATCTTGCTAAGGTCGAGACTGGCGGCCTTGGCTCTTATTGTTGTTACATACTTCACCTGCACCACTTGGGTAGTGGTGTTAGGGAGCTGAATGTTTGCCTCGAGGCTGTCAATTCCACTGTTGTACATTGGGTGCCCAAACGCTTCTGTCCTGCTACAGCAATTAAACCTGAGACGACTTTTTCTTTTCCTGGTAATCAGCCGTGCCCTAAGAAGATCAGGAGAATATTGTGATAAGATACAGTAATCAGTAAAGGTTAATTATTATTACAAAATCTGTAACTAGTCTGGGAAGATTGGGCATGTCTCTTTTTCACCTAATGCTACTATTCACCTAGCAGTAAATAGGTACTTTGAGGTCAGGCAACTGTTATGGGCTGCATCTTGGGATAGGTCACCAGTAGTTAGTGTAGGTGAACCTCAGTAAGCCTTGCAGGGTTTCACTCCATGGCTATGTGAGGTGAACCCATAAACTGAAACATAGGATCTGCATTTTTGATGGTACAATATACTGTACAGTATTTGTATAGTGCAGTGTGCCATGGGCTGTGTCCAAATATCACAGCATCTAACACTTGCTTCCAACACACCCACAGTTCATAGCTTAGATAATGATTCATTATGCATATATTTAATAATACTCGAATGTACAGTACTACCGGGACCGAAAAGGTCCCAGTAGTAGTTAGGTTAGTTCTCGACTCACAGTTGAGAATTTCATGTTTGAATCTCGGGCGGGTCATAAATGATTGGGTGCATTTTCTCTCGCCTAATGCATCTGTTCACCTAGCAGCAAGTAGGTATTCAGGAGTCAGCTTGTTGTGGGGTTGCATCCTGGGTGGGGTCTATAATTCGACCTTGGGGGGGCAAGTGGGGACCATATAAGCCTAATGTGTATAAACACATGAATTATTATTTCTTAATTACTGCTAAGAAGTGGTGCTCCTCATGTTATTGTCTACTTGCCAATGATGTACTAAGCACACCTCTTGGTGGACGATAAGTAAAATTCATTAATTTGTGGTTTATTTTATTTTTCAGAGCAGGGCAACAGCTTGCTTGCTACAGTTGCAATGCGGTATTTAAGGATGTGTTGTCTGCAGCCGAGCACACCCTGGAGTGTATCGAACCTTCAACCCCCATAAAGAAACCAGAGTTTGTGGCAAAGGAAAAATGTACCCCAAATAAAGTAAAGATACCAAGACGTAAGTGTAATTATTTAAGGAAACCGATTCACAAGTTGTCTGGAATTAATCACAATAAATCACACTATTTACAACAACTTACAGCTTGATTTCTGTTAGCACACATTTCTAAGTACGGTGAGCTTAGGTTTTAAGGTATTTTTGGGTTTTAGTTTAGGTTTTAAGATTACTTTGGAGAGTAACTCGGTAGTAACATCGGTAACAGATCAATCAGAGCTACCGATGTGCTTTAATATACCTACTAATCTCTCTCGTCTTTTTTTTTTTTTTTCTTGCAATGTACCTGTTAGCACTTCATAAATTTTGCTAGAATTCACCTACTTAAAATTATATGTTGGATTAAGGACCTGCCCGAAACGCTGCACGTACTGTACTAGTGGCTTTACAAGAATGTTAACACCATGCTAAGTATCCTCAGAAACCCAATGTACCTTTTTGTATATGCAGTATATAAATAAATAAATAAATAAAAACACTCTCACAGTGCACATTCTGTACCATGTTAATCTAAGGTTCCATTGTGTTGGTTTAGGTAAGGGTTGGGTGGAAATAGGATGACTCATCATGTAACCATTTAGAATGTAATATAGGGGTACCTCGGTTTAAGAATTTAATTCGTTCCTGGAGACGGCTCGTAATCCGAAAATTCGTAAACCGAAGCTAATTTCCCCATAAGAAATAATGGGAAATGAATTAATCCATTTCTGACTACCCAAAAACTTCACTTCAAACTAAATTTTATACCTAATTCATCCAAATCTACACTACTAAAGTATGTTCAAGTTATTATTTACCCTTGCTGATGACGCGTGTTGGCGTATGGAAGATGGTGAGGACGGGGGGAGGAGGAGAGGTGTTACTGTTTGGAAGGGGAGTCCCCTTCCATTATAACATCAGGCAGTGAGGACATCACTGGTGTGCACTCTCTGGCACGTTTTGCCTGCATACCAGGTTTTGCCTGCATGTGGCTCACTGCTTGCTTGTCTTACTAAGGATCTGTCTAAAGACACTTGTTTTTCCCTACATTTTAATACTTGTCTGTAGTAAGACATCACATTGTCATTTAAAATGTTAATGCAATGGCCTGCTACAGCTTTATCTGGGCGAGTTTTTTCAACAAAACTTTGAAGTTCTTCCCATACTTCAAACATTTTCTTAATGAGGAAGGGACATCCTCTGCTGCCTCTACTCGCAACTATTTTCTTACGTTGAACCTTACCACTGGCTTTCTTGGGACCCATGGCGAGATATATAATAACAATTTTTATGCTTAAGTGGCCAAAAATCCGACAAAAAACTGTAAATCCTTGTGAAGAATTCAGGCGGGATAATCACTTGGCGCGAGGCACTGGTAAACTGAGGCGCAATCACCGTGCCACCACGCACTAGGTCAGCCCGTACGCGTATCAACAAACTCGTAACCCGATGCAATGCTCGTATCCTGATGCAAATTTTCCGACCATATTGGGCTTGTAACCCAAAAAACTCGTAAACAGGGATGCTCGTAACCCGGGGTTCCACTGTAGTGTGATCCATCTTGTTTGCTTGTACTGAATGTTCTGAAGAAATTTTTCTGTGAGGTACATTAGCAGTTGTCCACTATCTTATTGGTTTTTCACATGGATTTGAATTTATCCTTAACTTTTGAATAATAGTACAGTACTAGTATATATAATTTGTGCTACAATTGCAAGTGAATTGGTATAGTATGTGTACTGACATGAAATCGTTACTGAGAATTGGGCTAAATAACCCATTATTTCTTTCCTTCTTTACAGTAGTTAATTTGATAGGCAACAAATTGTTGTTAAGACAAATTTTATTTTCCAGCTCCAAGAACTTGGATAAGGGAATATGAAGCTATACTCTTGAAGTGCATGATGGAACATGTTAATGTTATTGGAGAAGCAAAGGCGAAGGTCGGCAAAAAACCATACACAATTGTCATGGAAGAACTAGCAAAGGAACTACGAGTATCTGTATGTTACTCTTACATTTATTATTATGTGCAATATATAATATTAATTGTTATTGGCAAGATGAATGTTCTTACTACAATCTTTGATGAAATAAGATATATTAACCCATAAAGCCACATATATTAATTTAAGAACTTGCACTAAGAAACATTTTGAGAATTTTGTGTTGGACTGGCCTGGATATGGCTAACACTCAGAGTACGGTAAAGCAAGATTAGGTTTGTAAATACTGAAAGCTCTTTTACTGGTAATTTTGGTGCAGTCCAATGCTGAATACCGAACTTACCTCTTCATCTCAGAAGGGACACATGAAAGTAAAAAATACATGCATACTCTACTATAACAATACTGTAATGCTAATCACATTAATTATAATTTATCTTGCCAGATATCATCTGGATAATGTGAAAAAGATTTGAAGGTCTTAATTAGAAGGAATCTTTTTTTTTTTTTCAGATTGGGGAATGGGTTGACAGGAAGTCTATTATAAAAAAATGGTTGGGCTTGTTGCGGCGGGTCAGGAACTTCGATGCACTCCAGAAGGGTAATCAAATGCTAGGCTACCTTCATCTTGATCCTCCAGAGTTTTATGGATCTATTAAAGAAATTGATAGAGGTAAGTAGAGATAATCAATATTCTTAGCCCTTGAACCATGGCTGGCATCATTTGATGTTATCCTAGGCATTCATAGCTGACATCATTTGATGTTTTAGTTTTTACAGTACTCTTTGAATATTAAAGTGCAGCCATAGGAGATGAGGCTGTCGTTCACTGCTTTAGCACCAGTACATCTACTGCCATGATGAGAGATGTGTGTGCTTAAGCTCCTGATATCATGTTAATCACTCTACAGAATGTTGGCAAATAGCACTCACTTTACAAGACCAAACAAAGGTAAATGTATAATTTTCTATGCTTTAATTTTCAGTCATTTTCAGTGAAATATAGTGATCCACAGTGCTTACTAAGGATCAATCACTCGCTCAGTCAGACAGGAATGTGTATGTATGTCACCATTGCTACAGAGATAGTGGCATCCTAACATGCTCTTTTAAGTTGCTTGGGAGATAATAGAAGAAATATCAATCCAACCAGGATATCAGCTATTTAGAGGCTTTGTTCTCAAGCCCAAGCTTAGCAGACATCAAATACACCACCACTGATATCAAATGCAAGCTTAACACTAATCAAAACAAATGTGTACTTCTCCCTATCACTGTTAGGTGCATCACTACTGTGGCACCTTCACTGATCTTACATCTGGACTGTATTAGCAACAATGTTAGGCTGTCAACCAGGTATCAACCAGATATCAACCAGGCTCTTGTATAGATAAGTGTTGGTATTCTTGAGTTTGGTGTTAAACTGAAATATTGGGTATTTATCAGGTTGGCTAGTTATGGATTATTATTCACTGACTAGATTTGAAATTTATGTAACTAGCGATGCTGTTCCCAAGTTGGAGAGTCTCAGGGTTGAGACGATCTAATAGCTCTCAATGGTTATTTAATTCTATTTTGTTAAGGTGCTGTTCCATGGGTTTGACATTTTACTGAGAGACCAGCCTTTTTCTGTGTGGGAGAGGAGCAGTAGTCTATTTTAGTTTGCAAACAAATCTGTAGGCATAAGCATTGGAGTATGAAGCTTGAGATTTGTCCACAACTGACCCAAGTTTGTCCATCTCGATGGGTAAGGAATGGTAGGCAAAGATTTGTCTTTGTTGGGAGTCTGTATACCACTTAACAAAGTATCTTCTCACTTTGTTAAGGGGTATTATCCTGTTTTATCAGTTTTTGGTATAGATTTCCACAAATTGAAAGGGGCAGCAACATGTAAGATTTTATTTGGGGGTCAAAATCAAGGTTACCATATAAAGTTAGGGGTTTGCATGGTTTTGCTTTAGGCATGCACCCTGTTGGTATAAGAAAGGTTTCACCTACAGGCTTGTTACATATATAGGGTATCCACCCTACACCAGTTCAGAAATAGAGAGTAGACACGAATTTGAAAATCTTTCTTGATCCAACTAATTGTAGTGCAATATGTGATTGTTAACAATGAGCCTGTAGTGAAAGCAAGTGTAGAATGTCTGATGCTTATATATCTAAATATTTTCTATCATTTTGGTGTTCATTTTACTTTTATTTCAGAAATCCAAAAGGTAAAACTAAGAGTACAGCGGGAAAGAAAACAGAAAAAAGATAAAAATGAAGATACAGAGGAAACTGCACCAGAAAGCACCAAAAACAACAGTGATAAATTTGGAGTGAAAGACTGTAAGGTATGGAAAAATACTGTATTAATTAGTTGAATCAAATCTGAATTATTATAATAGAAGCACAAGGAGACTTGGTTCTAAAAGTTCAAAGCTCGAAAAAATTAATTAGGTATCATCTGACATGAGAATCATCTTCAATAGAAATATTGTTTGTAAATAGGATTTGTTCTTGATAGGTTGTTCCTGTAATGTACTATTGACACTGTCTAGTAGTAAGATTATTAGAAGATTGCCTGATACAGTAGTACTAGTGGTGGTTGAAAGGTTGACTGAAAGAGTGCAATAGATTGTTGATTTTTACTGAGCTAAAATCACTCCCTTAGGTAATGTCCTGCTTTCTAAGATATAGTACAGAAACAGCCAAGTCAGTGTGAATTCCTCATCCTTGATGCAGCATGTGTCTTTTCAAAATTTGGCTATGTAAACACATTTCTCTATACCAAACTAATTAGTGCTATTATTTCAGGTGGAAGCTGATATCGAGTATATTGTGGAAGGTGGTACCCATGATCGAAAATGCATTGAGGTGGTTGATGTTGCAAATACAATGATGCGCAAAGATATTGTGATCTCAATTTTGAATCGGCTAGAGCAAGGAATTTTTACTCCTGGAGATATTGCACAAGAGTTTGAGATTGATGAGATTTTTTTGGAGCTGATAAAACAAAGAAAGGAAATCATTATACAAGGGTAATGATGACATTATTTCCTGTTACACTATAGAGTATTACTCAGTGCAGAGCATTATGCTTTCATTTGTTGTTTGTCATCTTGTTAATACTCGAGTCTCCAGCAGTTATCTTTAAAGACAGCTACTTTTTTGGGTTGCCAGATTAGTCTACATTTATCAATGTACAGTATATCATTCTTGGCAAAATAAGGTGGATTCTATGCAACAAAGAACAGTATAAAACATGACCACAGTGTAATTACTCAAAACATTTAGTTCATTTAAATATATTTATTTGTATTGAACTTGTAAATTTTCTGATTAAAGCATCTTAAAGTTTATTAGAGTTAGCTAAAGTTAGCTATTGATTTTTCTTATAAAAAAAATTAGGTAACAAGAAATGTACTGTGAAGAATTTGTGCAGCAATAACAGTTTACCTTAGAGTTTCATTCCCTGAAGGTCACTCTCAGGGTAAAGTCAGCCATAACTGGATAATAAGTAGTTGTATGTGCCTGAAAAAACAGCACCAGCTTCAATGTATATAATGAAATCACAAACTCTTCAAATATACTCCAGCAACATGTTATAACATGATAGGTATAGAGAAAGAAGGTAGGAATAAACATTTAAATGATAGATTTCTCATGATTTTTTCCATGCTTTATATGAAAATTCACTGTCCATCTCTTGACAACAAGCTCTGTTATCTGTTTTATCTGTCATTTGATGGAAGAAACTCAACCTGTACCAATGCCATAATTTTCTGCCAGTCACTTTCATTCAGTATACTCAAACTCAATTCTGTCTAGAGCCCTAATACCCTACCTAGAGCTCCCCATTAGGAAGTACTAACACTTGCACCATCACCACCCCCCACATTTTGGTCAGATTCATTTATCACCAACACTGCTCTACTTGATAAAAGTGATGGGTGTGACTCCATACCCATCACCAGCCTTTTCCTCACTCCTTGCTGTTAGTTGCTTATTTCATCTTCTGGTGGATAATATTCAAGATTACTTCTTGTAAAATATTTGTCTTCACTAAGATCTTCCAACTTTTGCAAAGTCTGAGATTTTTGTATTGCATTAATGGTCACTTGCATGCTTGCACTCTTGCACTGTGTAGTCTATGAACTTGATGGAAGAGTATCAGATGAGTGGGCATTAGAGCTACTTGCAGATGCCCAGGAAGGAACTAAAGCACCCAGGATATTTTTTTCCCAAAATGGCAGATTTCCAAAACCCTCATAAGGATGGAACTGTAACTGTACAGTAATATTTGAATAATTAAGTTTAATTAAAGTATTTTCTTATTTCAGAATTGAAAGGTGCTCCTTGTGTCACCTTTTACTTATTAATAAGAAAGATCTGGTATCACATGAACTACAGTGTTCTGCTAAGAATAACTGGGTCAAAAGTAAGTAGGTTTTATTATTGTAATTTGTTTAAAATTTATAGTTTTTTATATATTTGTGATTTGAGACTGAGAGGCATAGGGTACTAGGATGATAGAATAGAGAGATATAATGTCATTGAAGTTTAGAGCAAAAGTGTGTGCTTGTAAGATAGAGAAGAAAATAATTTTATGGTATGGTCTTGAAAAATGAATAACTTGTACAGAGAGTGGCGAAGAAAGTTACTACGGTTGTGCTTTAGGGTAGAAGGACGACAAGAAGGCCTATAGCAAATACTGTATAGCATGTAAGTACAATATTTGGATAAAGTATGAACATGACTGTAGAAGTGGTTTATTAAAGGGAAGTGGGTGGTAGGGAACTGACTTTTGTGACTGTGTGTGTGTAATTACCTTAGTGTCATTACAAGATGAAAGTTACTCTCGTGATGTCCCGTCTTCCTTATAATCACTTAGGAACTACCAAGATAGTTTTAATATCTACCACCTTCTCACTTAAATTTTTCCAACTGTGTGCAGCTCTGTTTGCAAAAGAAAATTGTCAGATTTTTTAAGAACCTGTGTTTCCTTAGTTTTTCTATGGCCTTTTGTTCTTGAAGTTGCAAGTTTAAAAAATTCCTTTTTGTCAACCATGTTGATTCCGGTTACAGTTTTATACCAAACCACACACACTAGAAGATGAAAAGACAATTGACTAGATAATGGTCCAGGACGGACCAAAACATCGTCGTCTTTTCATCTTCTAGTGTGTAGTTTAGTCATTGGTATATTTAACTCTTCAAGACTCTTGTAGCTTTTTTTTTTCTCCACTTCTTGAAGCCATTTAGTAGCATGTCATTGCACCCTATTTATTTTATTGATGTGCTTCTTGAGATATGGACACCATACAACTGCTGCATATTCTGATATGCCTAGCAAATGTCGTGAACAGTTTCTTTAGTATTTCTCCGTCCCTATATTTAAACAAGATTCTGAAATTTGCTAGTGTAGCATAGGATTTTGTCATAATATCTTTGATGTGATCTGATGACTGTTTAACGTGTAGAACGAACCCATTTCCCTTTCTTTGTCAGTTCTTTAATATTGTTTCATGTGATTTACTGTGTAAGTTGAATGTGGCCTCTTTTTCCCAAATCTACATATCATAATGTAGCATTTATTCACATTTATTTTATTCACTTATTTTGTCTAGATCATCTTAAAGGGAATGACAGTCATATGGCTTTTATTTTCCCTAGTAATATATCCTGTTCATGTAACTCTGTATCCCCTCTGGTAGATTGTTTATACAGTTTAGACAATAAACATTACCAGCACTAGCACTAAACCTTGTGGTCCTCTGCTAGTAACATTTTCCAGTTTAGAACATTACCATTAACTACTGCTTTAATTTTTCTGTCAGAAAATTGTTTACCTATATTTGCTACTATTGATTTTAAATGCAGATGACGATATTGTACTGAGTATAATCATTTCTGCACTCAGGTTGTACAGATGACAGAGTTGACAATGACAGTTTCCAGTTTTTCCCAGCTACAGTTGAACGACTAGTTCAGCTTGTCATAGAGACCAACCCACGTGAAAACAGAAGAAACACGTGGAAAAAAATTGCATTTCACCTGTCTGGCCTCGTAAGTTATTCTGTTGTGTATAATACTACAGGATGGTACTGCAGTTTCACTGATGGATAGATATTTATTAATATAATCTGCAGTTTGAGTATGCTTGTTGTACCAATGGATTCTCACCAGAAAAGATGGAGACAATGTGATTAATAAGTAAACAGTTAAAACACTGTCAGTTGACATAAATGTATTTCTGGGTGGGGATCCACCTCGGTAGCTCTCCCAAGTTATAACACTTGGGCTAGATTATTGCCTATGGCAATTGGCCCAGACTTTTGAAACCTACCCTTACATACAGTCAGCCAAGACCAAAATCTTGAAAGAACTCTTCTAGAAAACATAAGCCTGGCAAAACAAGCCGCTGCTTGAGAGTTTAGACCTTGAAACTTAACCACGTGAATTTCACGTGACCGTGAAACTGTCACGTTTTAAATGTGACAGCTTTACAATTGAAGCTCTTGTAAAAGTCTTAGGGCAGAAATGCAATGGAAAATTTGTTAAACTGATAGCTGGCTGGAAGAATCTCATTACACCACCCTGTTCATATTTCAGTTGTTTATAATCTTTACACTCCCAGTACTTGTTACACTCCTTGTAGTTATTATGCCCTATATAATGACTAAAAAATTTTGTTTTTATGTTGAGATTTATTAGCCTTAGAGAAACCATTACCCATATGCAACTGAGCCATACCCAATGATTTTTTTTATTTAACAGTTCTTTCAGGTCATATCTGTCGGTTTTGATTCTCATATGGTACCAGGCCTCTTTGCCTCTCTCTAATTTGTTACAGTGTTACTTATGTGAGGTAACAACACTGGTGCTGTATATTCTCATTTGTTTTATGGATGTACCTACCTTCTCACCACCCAAATAATGCAAAGATCATTCTCACTCAGTGATGGTAAAATCAGTCTGTCAGTCTGTGAATTATTTTGTACTACTACTGTTTATTTTAATGTATTATTTATTTATTAACAGCAAGATGGTGTGACAGTGAAACGCTGCAACCAGAAGTGGCGCAACCTTGTTAATCAGTGCCGGTCTTATGAACAATTGGATAAGTGGGCCATAGCTCATAATTATACACACTCTAGACCTATGCCTGAATTCTACCATTTGATTATGCCATATGTAAGTGCTTCAGAGGGCAAAAGGGCTCGACCCTCTCTTGATGAAATTCGAAAATTCATTTCTACAAGCAAGGGTGTTGGCAGAGATGATGATGGTAGCTGGGATGAATCCAATAATTTCAATGATGGTGGGGATGAAGACAATGATGAAAGTCCAGGAGATTATGAAGACCCTGATTTAAATGATTCCTGTGATCACCTTGACGAGGCTTCCAAGTCAAAATCCACACCAGAGCCTCCTAATGATGAAGTTTCTAATGTAAAAATGCCTTCCCAATCACACACACTATCAGATCCACCAAATGATGTAGTTACCACTGTGAAGTTGCCCACCAGATCAAAATCTGTATCAGATTCTCCTAGTAAACAGGTAAATATTTGCACTATTGTAAAAATGCTTGTATAGATATTTTGGGTATTAAATAGCATATTAATGAACATTTTACATATTTTAATTACTGTACTGGCATATGCAAATTTTTATCACTTTCTCATAGCCTACTGGTCTTGTCAGAGATATGTATTACATATCTTCAATCAACACAATTAAAGCCTCTTTATTTTTTCTCTCCTTGGTATTTAAAAATAAGTGCACTGGAGAGTCGAGCAAAGTTACTAAGCCTAAAGTGAGTGATCCAGGTGATAACAAGGCCCAAGAAACCATCAAGAATCAAGCAGAGCTCATAACAAAGTTTGGAACCAAGTTGGATAATGCTTTAGGTATGTATTAATTAACATGGAAATGTTAAATAATATCTTGTTGCCAAAGGAAGAGAGACAGTACTCACTATGTATCTGACCATTCAGAGACTCATTAAAAAAGTATTTTTTATTAATAAACTTTTAATTACTACACTTTAGATCAAGTATTTGTGAATTTTATACTAATTGGTTATTGATTTATCACTTGAATTTTTTTTTACAGTTCTGCTGAGAGATATGGCAAGAGAGAATCAGCGACTATGCAAAGTGGCAGATACAAAATCAAATTCTAGCATGGCAAATGTTGTGGAGAAGATTTGTAAGGTAATTCAAATGCAGTTAGAAATGCAAAATCAGATGATGAAACGCTTTGATATAATGACAAACATGTGGGAACGTCATCATCAGGAGAATCTAGATGTTATGAAGACACTCATTGTGGAAATAAGTCCAAAAGCTGCATCTAAATTATATGTTAAGAAGAGTACAGAACAGACAGCAAACCTAAATCAGTCAAATAACAGCACTACAGTAAAATCAAAGCAGGTATATGTTCAAGAGGGAAGTGAACCAGACCAAACTTATAACAGTAAGGGAATGAAACCAAGTCAGACATACAAGAGGAGCATCAAACCCAAACAGACAGGCAAAAGCATTAAGACTGACACAACAAAACTGCATCAGACTTGTAGCAGTAAGCAGACAGAGACAAATCGGCAGTGCATAATTATGACTAGAAAACGAGGTCGACCTGGCAGCAGTGACTCTGCAAAAGTAGACAATATAAGCAACACACAGACAACAAAACTAGATGGCACATGCAATAGTGTGACCAAAACAAGTCAGGAAAGTGACAGTAAGACAGGGAAATCAGAGGATGAAATGCCAAATAAAAGAATAAAAAAAAAGAAAGTCATTTATGACTATTAATTCTGTACAATAGTTCATAATGGAAAGTTTTTATTACTGTAATTCTGTGAGATATAATAAATACAAATTTTATTATTAGTTCACCTTGTTTTTCACTTCCATGGTGTAGAAAGGTGCATTAGGAAAGGTTAGAAAAATATTTGACATATATGGCTAAAGATTATGAGCATGTAAATTAAATACATACTCATAATGATGTATGAATTAAAAATGGTATATTTGCTAAAAATAAAGAATAATTCTTCAAGCCAACCCCGGTTTGGTGCCTTCTTTTGATAATTATTTACTCTTCAAGCCAACTTAACAGTGAAAGACAAATAATCTATCAATAATTCATATTGAGTAATTGGCAAACTCAATGGTGTCACCTTAATGTGGCTAGGGGACATTTACATGCTGTTTCCAGGTGCTTGAGGGTAACTTCTGCTCCCTTCTTACTTGCTGGAGCTGTGTATAGCAATGGCACCTGTGTTTGGGTCATTGGATCCATGAAAACTATGGTATTGAGATGAAATTTGTGTCCGGTGCCTGGGTAGGAATTCTCAAGTTCTGCCCACAAGATGGATATGGGGTGCATAATAAATGAAATGCTGGCATATCACTTTGTTATCCTACACCAACTCATCTGTAGCTTGACCCTAAATGCTCGTTTGTTTATAGAGTTTATTGTTAGATATCATTAGGGATCAACTTTGTCAATCAAGGAATTGCTCCCCAATAGGAAGAAAACCCACTGAGTTGTTCATCCTGTCACTTGTACCCAGACACAGCTGGGACTTGCTTAACTGTCTCAAGTGAACAGCTTCTAAAACAAATGATTAATATCTGTCAAACCCTTAACATCTTATGTTATCTTGCGGGTGCAAAATGGGGGAATCTTTTAATCAGAGTATCAGTATTTGACAAAGTAAGTAATTATCAAAAGAAGGCACCAAACCGGGAAGGCTATGTAGCACCATCAAATACGCAAAATAATCAGAGGGCGCTAAATATCACCAAGGATGCCAATACGAGAACAAGAACGATATCAAAAGTATCCGAGTCACCAAGAATTCTATCGAGGGACAGGTGACCGCGAGGGGCGGTCGGAAAGTAAGACACACGCTCGTCCTGGAAGTCAGGACATGCACGACCGTAAGAGGGACAATGCAACTAGGACAATAAGGAGCAGGGCGGCGCTCCATCAAGTGACCATGGGTTAAGCGAGTATGGCCAATACGCAACCTCGCCAGAGCTGTTTCCCACCGTCGGTTACGGTGGAAGGAGGACGGCCACGAGGAAACACAACATTTAAGAGTACGTAGCTTGTTACCAGTAACAGACAACCAAGAAGCCTGCCAACGGGTAAGGACTGAGGAATGGATAACCGGGTAAAAGTCGGAATACGGAATGCTTTTGCGAGAGATGGGACAAGAGTGGACAGCTTCCTTGGCAGCAGCATCCGCACGCTCATTTAAAGACACACCAATATGGCTGGGAACCCAACAAAACTCAACCGACTTAAATTTACTGTGAACGAGAAACAGCCAATGCTGGATCTCGACAACTACTGGATGAACCGGATTAAAGGACCCGAGAGCCATGAGGGCACTACGAGAGTCAACAACAACCACAAAGGAAGACTGAAAACGAGAAAGCAGGAGACGAAGAGCATAGAGAATAGCATAAAGTTCCGCTGTAAAGATGCTAGTCTCCGGAGGCAAGCGACACATATAAGTGCGATCAGGAAAAACAACAGAGTAGCCAACACCGTCCGCTGACTTAGACCCATCGGTGAAGACAGAAACGGAGCGGGAGTGAGAAGAAAAGTGCTCGAGGAAAAGGCGTTTTAGAACCGTAGGAGGGGTAAAAGCTTTAGTGATACGGGTCAAGGATGTACAAAACCGCGGAAGAGGGACCCTCCACGGGGGCAAAGAAGGAACAACACGAGGAGAAACATCAGAAATACGAACGGAAAGAGAATCCTGTAGGCGAGATAACCGGACAGAAAGAGGGAGGTGGTGAAGAGGAACAGGAACCGCAGGAGGGGTAAAAGTTAAAGCACGACAGAGGCGAGAGGAAGGATGTTGCAAGGATCGCGCAAGATAGCAAAGACAGTAGCGATCACGGCGGTCCTGGAGAGACAGGAAGCCAGTGTCAACATACAAGCTAAGGATGGGAGTCGAACGAAAGGCACCAGAACTGAGGCGCAACCCAGTATGGTGCAAAGCATCAAGATGGCGAAGAGTAGAAGGAGAAGCAGACGAGTAAGCAGGGCAACCATAATCGAGCTTAGACAGGACGAGAGAGGAATGTAAAGCAAGGAGAGTGCGCCTATCTGCCCCCCAAGAAGTATGGGACAAGACCCGAAGGAGGGTAAGGGCCTTAGAGCACTCAACACGGAGGTAAGAGATATGGGGAGACCAAGACAAACGAGTGTCAAGGAATAACCCCAAAAGCTTCGCGGAATCTTTGTATTCAAGGGGATGACCATAAAGTGAAAAAGAGGGACGAAGAACAACCCGTTTCCGCGTAAAAGTAATGGCACAAGTCTTAGAAGTAGAGAACTTGAAGCCATGACCTGTGGCCCAAGACGACACGGCATCAATTGCAAGTTGAAGCCTGCGTTGAAGGAGAGGCGAATCATCACCCTGACAACAAAGGGTAAGATCATCGACATAGAGAGCGGAGAAGACACCAGAAGGAAGAGAGGAAAGAAGACCATTGAGGGCAACCAGAAAAAGAGTAGTGCTCAGAACACTACCCTGGGGCACACCTTCGTATTGCTGAAAAGAGGGAGAGAGAGCGGTACCAAGGCGCACCCGAAAGGAACGACGAGAGAGGAAGCTGCGGAGAAAGAGAGGGAGATGACCACGAAGGCCAAAAGAATGAAGTTGAGATAGGATATGATAACGCCAAGTGGTGTCGTAAGCCTTTTCTAGGTCAAAAAGGACGGCAACAACGGAGGTCTTCGCAGCAAAAGCAGTACGAATATAGACCTCCAAGTTCACCAGGACATCTGTCGTGCTGCGGCACTTGCGGAAACCAAATTGAGAAGGGGAGAGGAGGTGATGGTGTTCCAGGAACCACATCAGACGAACGTTAACCATACGTTCAAAGAGTTTGCAGACACAACTTGTGAGAGCAATAGGGCGAAAGTCCTTAGGGGAAGTACCCAGAGACCCCGGTTTGCGAACAGGGAGGACAACGGCATCGAGCCAGTCTTCAGGGACTGACGACGACTCCCAGATCCGATTATACAGACTCAGTAAATACTGAGACGTGCTCGGAGGGAGATGGCGAAGCATCTCATAATGAATACCATCGGAGCCCGCCGCCGTAGAACCGCAGAGGGCCAGGGCAGAACGAAGTTCAGAGAGAGAGAAGGGATCATTATAGGGAAGCTGAAGATGAGTGCAGAAATCTAAAGGACGAGACTCAAGGACAGGTTTACGAAGAAGGAAAGATTGGGGAAGATGAAGACCAGAGCTAACAGAAGAAAAGTGGGAACCCAGTTCGGAAGCGACCTGCAACGGGTCCGCCACAAGAGTATCATGGAGGTGAAGGACCGGTGAAACATCGGGAACGAACTTACCCGCTATCTTGCGGATACGCTTCCAGATCTGGGCCAGAGGGGTTTCGGACGTAATTGTTGAGACGTAAGATGCCCAACATTCACGTTTAGCCGTACGGATGGCCCTACGGGCCACCGCACTCGCTCTCCGAAAGAAAAGAAAAGAATCGGTCGTCTGCCTACGGCGGTGCCTCTTCCAGGCTGCACGCTTACAGCGGACAGCCCGAGCACAGTCCGCATTCCACCAGGGAACGCACTTCCGTGGACCCCGAGAGGAAGAGCGAGGAATAGAGCGGAGGGCAGCGTTGAAGACAGTGTCATGAAAAAGGAGGAGAGCGCGAGAGAGGGGCAGAAGGGAGAGGTCAGAGAGAGTAGCACTGAGGGAAAATAGGGTCCAGTCCGCCTTAGCAAACTGCCACCTAGGGAAAGAGAGGGAAGGGCGAAAAGAGAAAAAGGAAACAAGGATGGGGAAATGATCACTTCCATGGAGGTCATCAAGAACCTGCCACGTGAAATCTAAGTAAAGAGAAGAAGAGCAGAGAGAAAGATCAAGACAAGAAAGGGTGCGAGTCCGAGAGTCCAAATGAGTGGGCTCACCAGAATTCAGAAGAGACAGGGAAGAAGAGAGGAGAAACGGCTCAAGGAGGCGACCCCGGGTATTCGTCAGAACGTCACCCCAAAGAGAATGACGACAATTGAAGTCACCCAGCAGGAGCACAGGCTCCGGCAAGGAGTCTAGGAGGTGTTTCAAATCAGGAAGAGAGAGCGGGACACTCGGGGGGAGATAAATGGAACAAACTGTGTACCATTTCCCCACAAAGATACGAGCAGCAGAACAATGGAGAGGTGAAGGAAAAAGTAAAGGAACAAAGGGAACATCAGCCCGAATCAAGAGAGCAGAAGAATTAGAAGCCCCAGCAATGGCTGGGGAGGGGAAAGAAAGGAATAGCCACGAAAACGACCAGGACGAGCACCAAGCATTGGCTCCTGGAGACAGACACAAAGGGGCGAAAACCGCGAAATCAGAAGTTGGAGTTCGAGGAAATTGGCGTAATAACCTCGAACGTTCCATTGAAGAATGGACAACGACGAGAAGAGAAAGGACAAAAACAGAGAACAAGGAAGAAACAAAGGCGAAAGAGCAACAGAGCACATTAAAGAATATCAGGGTCGGGATCAGGGTCAGCAAAGTCAGGGTTAGGGGGCATGGGTAAACTGAGCAAAGACGGAGGGAAGGAAACGGGAGAACAGATCAGAGGTGGGCGGGCAGGGTCCGGAGGAGGAGGAGGAAGAGGAGGAGACAACGGAGAGGAGCAGTCAAGGACAGCAGCAGGAAGAGGGGGAGTAGAAAGAGGGGAGTGCACCCCAGCAAGAGCAGCAACCGAAAGGGAAGCAGGGGCCAAAGAAACCTCCATAGCAGGAACAGGGGGCGCAAGCACTGAAACGAGAGGGGAAGGAGCAACAGAGCCAGAAGGAGGAGCTGAGGAAGAAAGCGAAGCCTTCTTACCCGCCGGGGAAGAGGAAGGAGAG